TGTGGAGCTCACCGATCTAAATCGCTGAGATGAACTTTGATTTCAATTTCGAGAGAGAACTTCGAAATAGCTCTGATGAATCACCGATCTGAATCGCTGAGATCGATCTAAACCTCTGAATCACCAAGTTGAATCACCGATCTGAATCGCTAAGATGACCTTCGATTTCGATTTCGACATATGAATCATTGAGACCGATTTGAATCGCTGAGATCTGAATCACGAACTTAACCGAACTTCGATTTCCAGATATGAATCACTGAGACCGATCTGAATCGCTGAGATCTGAATCACGATCTGAATCGAAATCGAAGTGATATGAACTCAGATTTGAATCGCAATACGAAATCGAAGTGATATGAACTCAGAATTTTAAAATTTCGAGATATGAACTTTGATTTTGAGATCTGAATCGCTGAGATGAACTTCGAAATCGCTCTGATGAACACTTCGATTTCGAGAGAGAACTTCTATTTCTGAGGATTCCATTGATAAGCAACTGAATCTCTGTGATAATAAGGGTTTAGACAGCAGAGAGAGAGATTATTTGCGAGTGCATCGGTTCAATTTGGGAGTTGAGATTCTAAGATTGAAAAAGGAAGCGTGTGAGACACACGCATTTGAAGGCGTCAATAAACGCCTCCTATTCATAAAACGACGTCGTTTCAATTAAAGAAAAACAAGACGTTTATAAAACGCCATTAAATATTAGAAACAGTGACGTTTTAAAAAACGCCGTTAAAAAAATGCCACCTAAACCCATATTTCCTGTAGTGTCAGTTGTGTAAGTAATATATTTATTAAGAAAATTAATAGAAATGTACATAGAGAAAATGAAGGATCTACACATCATCTTTGTTGATTTAGAAAAAGCTTATGATAGGATGCCTAGAGATATAATATGGTAGATATTGGAGAAAAAAATGTGTTTCCAAAAGGGATATTAATGCGATAAAAGACATACATGATGGAGTTGTGACTATGATTAAATCACTTGCAAAAGAAAGTCATGGATGAATTTCTAAACACATTCAAGATGATATCCCATGGTGTATGGTGTTCGAATATGATATTTTCTAGGGCAAATTATCACCCCAAAAAAATCAGGGTTTGACTCTTGTAACGAATAAACCCTCAGTTTTTTATTTTGCCAATTTAAACACTAATCTTTTGATTTGTTTTCAACCTAAACCATCGGTCTATTTTCGTTAAGTAAAATCGACAGAAAAAATGGTATTTTTTCCATTAAACTCAATAACAAAAAATGGTGTTTTAGACATTTTATGTACACTTACATTGAGTTTAATGGCTAAAATATCATTTTCAATCGGTAAGATGAGAATGTATGCTTAGATGGATGTGTGGTAAAGACTACCCCTCTTATATGGGGATGCAAAACGCATTGTTGAACCACTTATGAAGGATTGACATCTTGATATTTGTTTGTTACTTACAAACTAATTTCCCTAGAACTTTGAGGATATTTTAGAATGCATGATATTTTAGACAGCCCTCACCCCATATGCAAAAGTTAACTTTCTTGCTCTATTATTATATTTTTAAAATATATGAAGGAACTAGATGTTGATATGGAGTTGCGTTTGGGTCAACCCAATCTTATATACATTTTTTTTTCCATGACAATGTTTTTTAAAAGAAGTTGAAATTTTATTTAACCTACTACTTTTGACTTTTCCTTTGCAGGATTGATACTTTTTTGAGTAGTGATCAAAATCGTTGTGCAGGTAAACTTCTTTTTGCATAGACGGATGGTGATGTTGAAGAGATTAAATGTGTGGCTCCGTCAAGCATTACAAAAAATCTTGATTATATGGTATGCCTTGAGAATTGGGTTTAAGCTTGCTTTATGAGTTTGGGCTAAGAATTGTCTTGTAGAATATGAATATGACTAGGCTGGACAATCCTTGAAAGTAGTTTTCATCAAAATTTGAATTGCAATTGATTTGAATTTGTGCATATATAACTAAGGTTGTCGGTTAGAGACTCCGACTACAATCAAATTTGAACCTAATTAAACTCAGAGCAAGGCCAAAATGAAAGAAAATGAATTTACTCGATTGAGTCCACAAGCTACAAGCTCTTGGAAAAACTTCAGAAAAAGAAATGGGAACTAAAGGATTAAATCTCAATTTTATTTTCTTTCAAAAAGAAAATGCAAGCCCTCTATTACAAGTCTATTTACATAAGATTTCAGCTTGTGGCCGGTAAGTGGCACTAGCATGGAAGAACTTGGATATTAAAAAATAAATAAATAAAGCAAGCCTAAAATTTAGAACATTTTAATAAACCCTTGACCCAGATCTACACTTATGAAATTACTATGTTTGTGTTCCTTTGAATGTCTAAATTTTATTAAATCATCATCCCTTAAATCTTTTGAAATTTGAGTTGCTGCATTAAAATCGATCCCTAGTATATATATTCCACCGTAGATGGTGTGGGACCCACCTTGTGAGTTAGGGTTCTTTATGTGGTGTTATTAGAATTATTTATATCTATGCTCATGTTTCACGACAAAGATTAAATAATTATGAGCTAATTACACAAACCTTCCCTAAGGTTTTTGACAATTACATGAGGGTAATTCTATTCACACACCACAAAAAATGTCATTACACACCATTTATGCCATTTGGATATAAACTTCTGAACAAAAGTCAAATGTTTCAGAATGTATATCTAAACAATTCATTCTTGTACAAAAGTTTATTATCAAACAATGCAAATTGTGTGTACTGAGATTTTCTGTGGTTATGCGAATAGAATTTCCCTTACCAAGAGCTCTGTTGTGGTTTTTAAAATTGCATTGTCTTATCCTATTAAAGTTGTCGAGTGATGAAAATTAACTATAAATGTACAATTGCCATTTTGCCCTTTACAAGACCAAATTTTCATCACTATATTTGTGAACGAACAATTGCCAATTAAGTTCCATATTATTCTTGTCTTATAACCAACCAAATTCATTTTTTTGCAACACATCACTAGCTTTCAACCCTTTTGATCTCTCTGCTCCCCTCTTGCTTTCTTCTTTCGCACTTTTGATCTAATTAGTTATAGCTAGATGTTGTGTTAATTGTGTATAAATAGGGTGTAGATACCTCCTATTTAACTTTTGATCAATTGAATTATATTTTTAGAGCTTGAGCTCTTGTAATTTCTCATTGGAAATGTTCTCTTGTTGATCCATCATTGGTATAAGAGCCCAATGCTTGTTCCCTTGTTCTTATCCCTATGTATTGATCGCATGAATTGAGAAGGATTCCTCTAGATTTGAAGGATTTCAATCTGGAAACCTTAATTCAGCATTTGATTTTCAGCTCACTTTCCTCGTGAGCCTTGAATAGTGTTTTGAATCCCTAGCTTAGTGCCGTCGAGTTGATCAGCTTATTATAGTGCTTCGTGCCTATAGTTGAGCCACTTTGAGCAAGACTTGCATCTTCTCGGTGCTTTGTGATTCATCAGAGATCGGACTTCAATTTCTAGTTTCAATCTCAGATTTGATTTTGGTTTGTGAGTAGACTTTGCAATCTGATTTTGGCCTTTGATTCACATTCATGTCCTTTGAATCGACTTTGTTGTTGTGATTCTTATATTGCAACAAGAATCTGTTGAGTTTGACCTTGCGATTCCTTTTTTCTTATTTCAATCGGACTTCACATTGATTTGATTTTGTGATAGCGATTCCTTTTCTGATTTCGATATGACTTCACATGGGTTCGACCTTGATTTGAGTTCGCAAACTGATTGTGATCTAGAATCGACTTCGAGAATCGAGTTTCAACTTCAATTGTCTCTGTTTTGAGAAAAAATTTTCAATCTTGCTTCTGATCTAGATCTGGCCTTGCAGCTCAAATTTGACCTAGATACAAAGTCATGGATTGTACAATTGACCTGGTGATTGATTACAATTTTGATTCGGTATTAAATTTTGATTTGTCAATATTGACCTGTTGTTTGTGCATCTTCATGGCTGATATTGTTCTGTAATATTATTGTTGCTTGGACCAGTTTTTTTTTTCACGGCCTTGAGTGTAGTGTTGCCTCGGTCCAATTTGAATATACATTTGTTTCTGTTTGTCTCCAAACAGTGTCAAGAATTGATGACTCAACGCGGTAGGTAAAGAGGAGGAGGTAGAGGTAGAGGTAGAGGTTTTGCTGCAAATTTGGGAGAAGCTGAGATAGAGTGGAACAATGGGAGTCTTTGTTGAATAGATAAAATTGCCGAGTTGAGAAGGCAAATCGCCATGTTGACTGAAATGGTTCAATGCTTTGAAGCACCCACACTTCAAAACAAGGCGGTAGTGGTGTCGGACACAGGGGTTACACATGGGGACATGCCACGTGGCGTGTCCCTTTATTTGATTAATTTTTTGTGGGGGGACAAGCCAACTAGTTTTTTTCTCCTCTCCTTTAGTTTTTTGATGGATGTTGGATGTTGGAGTTGGATGCTATATGGTTGTTACTTTTTGCTTAGATTAAATAAATGATACAACTTACTAGTTAACTTAAGAGGGGTTTTTTTTATATTGAATTGTGTTAATTTTTCTTATTTTTATTTGTTTGTGGATGTAAAATATCTATATAATAAGGGAGAAGGGTTTTTGAAAATGTATAAAATGTATCAGAGATACATTTCATTTTAAGGGCTCAGATCAATTGTTATAAACATCAATGGTTGAGAGGATTCTTCAATTCCCGCCTAAACACTCGGTGCTCTCTCCCTCTCCCACCTACCCACGTCTCTACCCATTCCATCTTTTTCTCTCTCTCCCTCTCTGTTGCACATCTCCTCTCATTCCCTCCTTATCTCTATCTCCTTCTTTGTTCCTCTTCTTTATCTCCCGCTCCCGACGCTACCTCTCTCTTTCTCCCCCCTCCTCTCTCAGTGGCTTGAATTCGCAACTCTCCCACTCGCTGCCTTGGACCTCTCCGATTCGCAACCCCGATTGGAGCTCTCCGTTACCACTCTTCCTCACTCCGACATTCACAATCAGGACCGCTACCTACCCATCGCCAACATCAGTTGGATCATGAAGAAGGCGTCGCCTTCTAATGGCAAGATCCCTAAGGATGCCAAGGACACCGTTCAGGAATACGTCTCCGAGTTCATCAGCTTTATCACTAACGAGTACTCGATCCTATATATCTATCTATTAACGTTTATTTATTTTCTATATTAGGATTTCATGCTTTAGGATCGTGTTTTGTGAAATGTGATTCGAGGTTTTTTCAAATAGGGTGAGTGATAAGTGTCAGAAAGAGAAGAGGAAGACGATCAATGGTGATGATTTGCTTTGTGCAATGGCTACTTTAGGGTTTGAAGATTACATTGCATCGCTTAAAGTGTTCCTAGCTAGGTACCGGGAGGTATGATTGTCTCTATCTTTGATTTTGTATTGGTTCTGCATATGTTCAGAATCATAATTTCTAAACATTTTAAGAACTCAATTCTCTGAAGCCATTTATTGTAATAGCCACTGTCGGCTGGAGGTTTTGTTTGTTTAATTTTCCCTGTAACTGAACCAAGGATTAGCTTATATTCTTATCTGATTTTCTGTTAGTTTGCATAATCATTATGAATTTAAACTGAGACCATTTTTTTTTTCTTTTCTATTTTGCCTGGTTGATTTTGGGGAATAATTGTGGTTTCTCAGTTGGAGGTATTTGAGCCAATTTCTTGCCAAAATTACTGTTGTTCCTTATTTTGTTCATTACTGATTCAGGCAATAAGTTGTAATTTTTTGACAGGGTGACACGAAGGGATCTGCTAGCGAAGGTGATCGATCCTCTAAAAGGGATATAGTTGTTGCTCAGATTGATCCAAATGCACTGGTAAGGCAACAAATAGCCTCTTTTTTATTTTGCCACATGAGTGTGTAAGTTTAAATGTAATTGTCCTTTTGATCCGGTGGAATGAACTTCAAATAACAATTTCATTTTGTTGTCTTCTGTTTGCATCTGTGGTGGATAAATTTGGCAGTTTGCTCATCAACAGTCCTTCACACAAGGCATGAACTATTTGAATTCCGAAGTGTGAATTCCAAGTAAGTCTGTTTGTGTTTATGTTATTAGCCTAATCCAAATGTAATTCTTGCTAAGTGAGCATCAACTTAGAAGCGGAGCAATTATGTGGAGATTTTTGGATACCCATGGAAAGTCACATTTTACATTACCATTTCACGCATTCTCAGCCCTCCCCACTTAAACAATAAAGAAAATAATCAGGGAACCTCTTCATTGTGGCCCTCTAACTTCATGTTAAATTGCCTGCTTTGAACTTTCTCATTATCCACTGACCCACTAATAACTTAATAGAGTAGCAAAGGTTTGTAAATATATGAATTTTATCATATTTGTTTTTTAAAAAAATAAACGATAAGCATAATTGTATAATAGACTCTTCATTTCTTAACGATAAACATAATGAAATTAATTAACTTATTTTATCAAATTCAAACCAGTGGTAAACCCTACGAATCAAATTACGCCTTTCCAGTTAATACCAGGACTGAAGTGAGCTGCTATGGGTGTAATTTTGCGTTGTTACCTTGAGGGAACATCTCAAATAATTGGTTGTTATGCACATACAATTATGTCATATGGCTTGCTTGCATAATGTTTAAAGGGCCACCACTTTCATAGGCCCAAATTGAGAGCTTAACTCAGAAACTTTTATATTTTTATCATTGAACAAAATTGTTTTCATCATCAAGAATAAAATTATTTTGTTTTCATAATTTATGTATGCTCGACAGATTTGATTCAATATTTACAGATTTTATTTCCATACAATGTATGTATGGTCGACAAAATTATTTAGTATAGAGCATAAATTTTTTTTCTTAATAGTCTCTACCATTTCTACATCCAAAAACTACTCTCTTAATAGTATGGTCGACCATACATACATCCAAAAACTAGAGTGAATTTGTTTTTTAACATCAAAATAACTATCAAAAATAAAAATTTGGCCTAATTCTGTTGTATGTGTATTTTTGTTCTAATTTTGTTTCCACATTATGTCATTTAGTTTTCACTACTCATGAATTGCAATGTGCGACATGGAAATTGCTCTCATTGTTGTTATTATTATTGTTTTATTTTGTTTCAGGTGTCGTCTTTCAATCGCAATCTGAATTCTACAAAGTTTCAATCAAGCATTTTTTGTAATGTTGTTCCTGGTAAGCCATCTTCCTTACAGTTGAGTAATCCATTGTTTCCTCTTTGTGCAGTTGATATTGATGTTATTTAGACTCTTCCCATTGTTATTTTGATGTCCTAAAATGCTTAACAAAGCCAAGATAGTTAGGTTTGTGTGAATGCATTTAACAGAGGGACAACATTAAAACTTCTTAATATATTAAACGTTGAAACTTCTTAATATATTGAAAGTCAAGTTATTTATGTGTTTATGGGATATTTATGTGTTTCTTTGAATTGAATTAAGTGACTTGAATAGTATAGCATATTGCTCCGTGCACCAGTTCATTTTTACACTGCCATAGCCCCATGAATAGAGCTTCAAGCCCATGACCCTTGCTTTGAAAGGCTGGGTCTCTACCAACTGTTATTATACCCAGTGTGTTAATGTTCCCATTCAATTACTATGCATTTGTCTACACCATTAACATTTATTGAATACGGTTTTTATTTATTTATTATTATTATTATTATTTGATGGTTAATTGATGGAATGCTTTCAATATATTTCAGGGAGGAATTTAAGGATGAGGAGATGGTTGATGTGAAGTCATTACACATCCGAAACTTTCTCTGAAGTTAAGTTTGTTGGTTAGTTCTTTGTTTTGCATTTAACAATTGTTAGGATACTCATATCCAGCAATTGTTTCTCTATCTTCTTTGATTGAAATTCATTGATTACCTAGGGGCCTGTAATCCTAGATTTAATAGTAAACCACTTGATTATCTTTTCGTCTATTGTTGTTGGTCGGTTTCCAAAAAAAAGAAATTTAAAAACACTGCCAATATACTGTAAGAATGTGATGGATCGTAGCCCTCTAAATCTCCATTCTCAAATTTTCACAAAATCTTAAAAAAGGGTAAATTATAACTATGCCCCTGATGTTTGTAAAATATTCTCACTCTCTCTATGGGCGCTTGCATTTTAAGATTAGTATCCAAAGTTTGGTAATGAGGTGCAATGTTGCCTTTGAGTCAAACTTGGTTCTAGATCCTGACACAATGCAATTATACAATTGGATTTGTTGATTGGGATTTTATTTTATTTATTTATTTTTATTGTTTGTCAGTCAAACTTGGTTCTTATGTAGTTATAATTTGATTAGTAGCAGTAGCACTAACTGGTGTGCATTTGAGTTTTAATTTCTTTTAAATTGTAGAGCACCGGCTGGTGTGCATTATTTAATATTTTAATTTTTTTTTTTATATTTGATTTGTTTGGAATTGTAGAGTACAGTCTGTTAAATATATTTTTATAACTGCATTTTAATCCTAATATTATTTACACCGTGCCTTTAGGCACAGGCATACACTAGTTAATCTACATAACAAATAACAATATTTTTCTATGCTTCATAGGTGTAACCTTTGCAAGCTCCAACCGATGATATTGATGTTTCCGAATGTACCAAGGATACTCACAATTCTTTTGAGAATCCTTTTGTTGCCCCGCAAAAGTGTCAATTGAATTCAGAATGTTTTAGTACAAATGGAGATGTGCAACGTTTGCAAGCTCCAACCGATGATATTGTTGTTTCTGAATATACCAAGGATACTCACCATTCTTTTGAGAATCCTTTTGGTGGCCCGCAAAAGTGTCAGTCGAATTCAGAATGTTTTGAGTACAAATGGAGATCATCATTAAGATTGATCCTCCCAATTTCCATGGAAGTCTTGCGTCCTAATCCATTTGTTGATTGGCTGAAAACTATTTGAGCGGGTGTTTTAGTGTGGTGATGTTTCCAAAAAGAAGAAGGTGAAGTTAGTGACAATTTGCATCAAAGGGGAGAATAGCTTCTTGGTGGGAGCAATTTCAAAGGAATAGGCAACTCGCTGGCAAGGGCAAAATCTGAGAATGGGAGAAAATGACCTCAATTCTTAACCTCAAAAACAATTCAGTGGTAAGAGCAATTCTTTCCTTTCAAGTACTTGCAACCTTGTACAAGAACTTATATAACCTCAAGCAATATGGGAGCATTGAGGGATACACAGAAGCATTTTACTAACTTGTTGCTCAAGTTGACATCAGTGAGAGCGAGGAACAAATAGTTGCAAGATACATTAGCGGCTTGAAGCCAATATGTGCTTGTTCTACACACTTTGTGGTCTGTCTTAAGAGGCTTACAATAGAGCTTTGGTGATTCAGAAGCAACAAAGCCGAGGTGTTTACGGTACGGGACATCACTTTCAAGGAGGTTTTTAAGGTGGTTTTAGGGAGTATATCCACTCCTAGCTTTCCCAAGGCTAGCCGTTGGTCCTTCATCAAAAAGTGTCCATAAGGGCCGCCCTGGTGAAAACTCAACACAATAATGGTGCTTCCAGAAGCCACCCCAAAGTGGTGTTAAGTGTGGAGAACCAGGTCATAGGCCTTCAGATTGTTGCAAGACTTTGGGCAACAAGTGGGTTGAACCTCAAGGTTGAAGATCATCTTATTCCCTTACGTGGTTCAAGAAGGGAAATGAGATCAGAGTTGCTAACTGATATTTGGTATTGTTTTCTATTCACATCGCAAGTGCTTTGACGAGGACTTTTGAGGCAAGACACTACATATTATCTTGCACCATAGCATTTTTAGAATGGAAAATGCCTTAGACCACTAATTAGTGGTGGCTCTAATGATGTGACAGTGGGTCCCACCCACTGCCACAGTGTACTTGTGCCTTGATTTTTTCAAGAAGGGAATTGAGATCAGAGTTGCTAAATGATATTCGGTATTGTTTTCTATTCACATCGCAAGTACTTTGATGAGGACTTTTGAGGCAAGACACTACATATTATCTTGCACCATAGCATTTTTAGAATATGTACATGTACCAAGAAAGGACATGCTTCACAGACAGAAAAATGATTGAGCTCAGTGCTAACCCCAAACTGCTACTTCAATAGGACTTTTCCAATTATTATTATTATTTTATTTTTTATTTTTTTGTGCATGTTCTATAATTGCAAATAGACAAATAAGATTCTTCAAGTGGTTATTTAAGTTTTGAGGGATATAGCAAATTTAAGGTCTCTCAATTACAGTAGAATACTGTGTTGCACCCATTCCCCACAAAAGGTAATTGATCCCGTGAGTTTAAAATGTGAACATGTTAAACCCGCTTGTCTTCTCTGTTATCACTTTCTTTCAAGAGTGTTCTTGTTTGGCATTTTGTTTTTGTGTTAATACCATCGTTATTTTATTTTTGTTTGGTTGGAAATGTTACTTCCATTGGTTTCAAGTATTAGACAATTGACAATCTTGTGGCTTTTTAGTATGACGCTTTTTGGTTGTTAAGATCCCTATTATGGCTACTGGAAATGCCCAAATGCCAAGAGAGAGAAGGGAGAATGGAGGGGGAACTGGTCAGATAAAGGCTTTCCACTATACTATTAGTATCATATTATCTTAAATAGTTATTATTATTATTATTATTATTGTCATGTACGTTTTTTATAGAAGGGATTTAGCAATTGCATAATTTTATGGATGGATTAAACTTAAATAGATAAATGGCTGGAGATCATCAGGCTTGCAAGGAAGTTGCCAGCTGGTGATGTGAGTGCACTGAGGTCTGATGCAGCCAAAGAACAAGAGGAGGGACTGGATGAAGATGACCTGACTTAGCTTATCCTGCCAACTCAACTTGATTGATCATCTGTGTTCTTTTTTTTTTACAAGTGTGTATTTTCCTCTTTTTGTATGCAAGATATGAACATAACTTGGTAAACATTTTCAATGTGCTCTTGTTCCATATACTTGAATATAAAAACACAAGTTTTAAAGTGGAGTTCTAGCATATAAGGATACTAGCGTATGCCCATGCCTAAAGGCACGGTGTAAATAATATTAGGATT